TTTCATTTCTAGAACCTCGTTTGTAGGAATAAACGAATTAAATTTTAGCATCAGGAACTTCATTTTGATAAAACAGTTTGCACATAGTGGGGGTTTGACCATTACATAAGCATTTATTTTGGTAATTACCAATACTGTTACTTTAGCCAATATTTGGCATTGTGTGGTGAGCTAATAAGTTTGTTAAGCACTGTAACTTGAAGACTTTAGTAAGCACTATTATACTTATATGTTGTAAAAGAGAATGTGTTTTTTCAGTTAAAAATTTATTCATGTTTATTTTGAATCTGACTACGGGAACTTTGAGTTTTGAAAACGTTAGGAATGGGGCAGGATTACCACCACGTTTAACAGCTGAAACTAGAAAAGCAAATGCTGTGCTTGGAACGTAAAATGTTTCCCCATTCTTGCTTTATCTAAAATGTTACCTGCTTATAAGTACAGAGCCTCCATTGTGGTAATTTTGATTTATTATATGCCAAGTGTTTATGTAAGCTGACAGGTCTAGATTGCAGACAGTTCATCTTAACGCCGCGTTCTTTTACCACAATGCCATGCTGCTTTATGTATGCGGAAAATGTGAAAAATGGATTTGTCCTGCTGAAATAAGAAAAGAAGTGTCATCTATCTGATTGGCAGGTTATGTTGCTCTTAAAAGTAGATCTCATTTAGCATTACTGGTGTCTTCACAGATGTTGACTAATGTCACCTTATCACCATGAAAGCATCCGGCTTCTGTAACAGTCCTTGTTCTCTTTAGTGCCAAGGATGTGATTCCTCACACCACAACATAGTTTTCCACCTCACTTCAGTCCATTTTAAGTGAGGTCTAAGTCATTAAAGATAACCCTAACCCAACATTTTGGAGAAGGGAAAGACTGATTTTTATGGAAATACTGAAAATGGATTTTGATGTGTGTCAGTTGGGAAGATTATTTTCTTTGTTCCCTGATTGATGAGAGAAGGGAATGATGAAAAAATAGTTGAATATACTAAAAAAGCTAACGGGAAAAATTGAAAAATTGAAGGGAAAGGTCAAAGTCAGGGAATGGGATAATTAATCATTATCCCCTAATTAATATAACTGAGGATAGGAAAGGAAAAGGGAGCGAAGGAGGACAAAATTTAGTAAAAGGGAATTAATAGGAAGTAAGGGAAGATTTGATTTTTGGAAATGGAGGAAAAGACACAAGAAGAGGAGGGGAAGGTTAGGCTTCAGGAAATGAAGGAAATGAAGAAGGGGTAATGCTGAGGTTAGTCCAGTGGAAGGAGGAAGAAGAGATGAAAAGGTGGGATTTAGGGTTTAAGAAAAAAGAAAACAACATAAAAGGGAACTTTTTTAAAAAGGAGTGGAAAGAGGATAAAGGGAAAGGGGGGAGGGAAGGTTGATATGAATGAACAGGATCATTTATAGAATATAGTTAGGAGGAAAGGAAGGAGAGGGCGCAGAGGTTTGGGATTTTGGTTGAAGTCATCTCTAATGATGACTTAGGCCTCAGAGGATTAGTGCAGTGTCACCTGAGATACCACAATCCTGGCCATTCTCTGCTGGTTTTTGTCTTTGTTTCTCTGGATGTTCTGAATCTTGTAATTATATTATCTACTGAAGATGATGATTTGCACTTTTGCGTTGGTAAACATTCCTAAAATGTGAAATGGCGGACCGCTGCCCACATTTGCTCCCCTTGTGCTTAAAAACGTCAAAATGTTACAAAATGTGATAACGTAAGGAGGTGTTTATGCAAAGGAGGTGCAGGGTATATGAAATAAATAAATGTTAAGTACCCCAAAATGAGAACTGTAGGGCAGGAATACAGGAACGCAGTACTGGGTCATATTTGTGCTCTGTTTTTTCAGCTTTGTTCTGACTGCCTGATGAATATACATCCCTGAAACAACAAAGGCTCTGGCAGACATGACAAAGCCTGGCATTACCAGCCAGTCAATCAGAAGCATGAGAACCCAACAATCACATCCTGTCAGTCAGTTTAATATCATTTGTTTGTGTGAGAAATCTCGTCAGAGACGAGTTATGTGGCTGGCAACATATTTTCTGCTTTGACTGCTTCTGTAGACTGCGTCGTGAAATACATCAAAGATTTTAAAAACGGAAAAAAAGGTGTGTATTTTGCTGTCTTATCTTCCCCTTACCCCCAGATCTGGTTCTGCCAGAGGTTTCATCCAGTTATAAGGGAGTTTTTCTTTCCCAGTTTCGCCAGGTGCTTACTCATAGCCTTCAATAGGGGATGGCTGTTGTGAATATATATAAATAAAACTGAACAGAAAAGCTTTATGATTGCTAGAATCTTCTGGTACCACAAATCTTGCTATTCACTCGTACTTTTTAATTGTACTGTTCTGGTGAGGTTTGCCATTCTTGTGGATGCCATAAAACATTCAGTCATTACCAACTTTCCCTCCACTGAGCGATCCATCTGCTATTTTTATTCCCCATCTGTTCTTCTACATTCCTCTTATTTTCTAGATGTGTTATAAATCTATTGCAGAAACGGTTTAAACCTTATAATATTTCTCTCGAATGAATGTAGTGCTGTTTCAGTCTGTGGCTGACGTGATACTTTTTGTTCTTGGCAGGTTATTCCTGAAGATGCAAGCTTCAACCGTCTCACCAGTGACCAACACTACCGTAACTTCAAACACAACCGCTATCACCAAGTCCAAAGAACAAATACTCATTCAAAGTAAGAACATCATCTGTGTGTGAGCTCCAAACTGCAGCGTCGTCTTGAACCAGACATCAGTGAAACACATCCTTGTCAGCAAGGTTTTGTTTTTTTGTAGACACCATGATAGTGCTTTGAGTTAGATAAGAAATAATCAGAAGAGCCAGTCCTCAGAAATAAAAACCCACTGCGTCATAAAGTCTAATCTGCACATTTCTTATGGGCTTGGCAGACAAGTATTTGGTAGAAAATATTTACCGTCGTCTGTTTACCTTTTAGTGATATGGTTGCTAGGTCACAAGTCATTATTTCTGGAGGACACACAAAATAAGTTGGACCATCACAAGAAGGCGGAATGTGTATAAGACGGCGTAGCTCATAAACCAACTGTCAGAGAGTTCATTGCTCATCTTTCCTTTCTTCTGTGTCTCTCAGGTTCTGGCGCTATGATTGCTGTCATTGTCATTGGCATTATTATCATTCTCGCCATTTTACTCATCATCCTGAAGACGTACAACAGGTGAGACGACATTCCTCGGACACAAGGCGATTCCTGCATACCGAATGTTTCAAGCTGTAAAGCAATGTTGCTATTTCTGTTCACTTCGTGGAAGACTAGAGAGCTGCTTCAGCTTTTCATCTTGCTTTTTTTTTATCACGTTCCGTTTGAGAGATACCATAATACCATCTTCTGTATCAGATTCTTATTTATTCTCTGCCTGTGGTTCCCTGACATTTTGACGAGGGACTTTTTCCCTATAAAGTGGCACAACCTGACGTACAGGTCACATCTATCTATATATCTGATTTGCAACCGGTAGCTAGAACCACACAGGGGCATTCCCTTCTTAGATTGTTTAACTTCAATAAAGACACATGAGAGGGACTTATGACCCTTTGACAATCTAATATATGTAATGTAAATGAGATTTTTATTTTATTCATATAGCTACTACAGTAAAAAGACAAAAGCCAAGTAAAAAACTGCTATTATTATGGAATTATTACAGGAATCACAAATTTAAAAGAAAAATCTATAAATTTGTCTTCCCAATGTCTTTGTTTGTTTTTTGTTCAGGCGGACACGTGAATCCAGACTCCTGGGAACCAGTAGAAGTTCAAAACCTCGTCCGAAGATGTCCCAATCTACAGTTCAAAGCAACTTTCCGCTGACGCCCATGGGAATCAGCTCTGTGTCAGGGAGCATCACCAACTCAAACCCAGCCTCAGAGAGCAGCTTCCGGCTGCCCAGAGCAGAGCTCACCAGTGCGGAGGGGAATCAAGTTGAGCAGTTCAGCACCAACAGCGGGTCCACCGTGGTCACCATACATGAAAATCCATCAATAGAAAACACATAGCACCAAGACTGCGGTTTAGTCTCAAAACAGGCACTGACTGATGTGTTGTTACATATTGTGCTGACTGAATGCTGTGGAAACTCAATCTGTGACCTTGTCACTGTTAAATCTCCAACAACTGGGCCACTGGTAGAGACTACAAGGATATCATGAGGTCTTTTGGGTGTACAATTCAAAGATGATCAAAGCAGCACTGGAAAGAGACACAAGGGAAATGAAGGATCTGAATACGGAAATTTCCTTTTGAAGAACTTTGGCTAAACTCAGTGTTCAGAGAATGGTCATTGCTGTTTGTGCTCTTTGCTGATGTTGCATTACTGCTAATGAAGTAATGAAGTAATGTGTAGTGTGGACAGCTATGGGCTTATGGCTGGATAATGCTGGTCCGGCGATGCAAATTTATGTTTTCAAGAGGTTTTTGAGTAAACGTAGAATTCATCTAATTGAAGGCATGGAAAATGATAACTCTTTTTGTAGTTGTGTAATGGACACCCTTTATGACTGAGAAAATGTGTTAATGTTCCAGATTTATTTTGAGCTCTATTAACTTTACATCATTCTGTACTTGTGAGCAGTCACACATTCACAAAAATCTCAAAAATATCATTACGTCCTTCTTTCTTTCTTTCTTTCCTTCTTTCTTTCTTTCTTTCTTTCTTTGTTACCACGCAGAATGAAGAGACCTATGTGAAACAGCTTGTCAGCCTTGCTTCCTGATGTGAATCATTTTTAATTTGACATTAAAGTATTTTGCACTTTATTCTCTTTGGTCCATGTATTTGTATTGTTTGTAGATGTTCACTAAATGAAATGAAGTGAAAATAAAAACTAATATTTGTAGTAGTGGATTGTCTGTTTATTACAATGAAGTAATTAGCACAGAGAATAATAATAGTAGTAGTAGTACAAATAATATTTGGAAGCGGAAGAGTGAGTCCCTGCGCCCTCTGCTGGTAGTCTCTGGAAAAGTAATGACTGGAAAGCCTCAAAGCTGCGTTCAAGAGGGCAAGAACTGTTCGCAAACTCCAACGACCAGAAGCTGCAAATGAGAGAAACAGTCCTCACCAATTTATTTTTGCACATTTCTTGGACAAGTTTAAGGATTTGCACTTTAAATTCTTGCACTATGAATTTATTCGTTTGAATAATGTTCGCTAACAACTGAAAACAATCTTGAACGCGACTTATAGCGACTGTTGACAACCAGGACGATGGTGACCGTAGGTGAGTTGGCCATAATCTATTGTTTCCCTTAAAAATCATATTAGTTGTCAAGAATTTGAAGATTTCGTCTGTATTTTCATTTAAATGTATATTTGCAAGTTTCCACCTCCTCACCAGAATTAACAACGCAAAGCTAAGCCAGGAGTAGTTAGCATCTTACTACCTATGCTAAGGAAGTAAGCTCGTTTTAATGTGTTGCAGTCGAGCTGCTGAGTCTCCTGTTGGTGTCAGTGCTGTGGGGCTGCACCAACCCTTTCCTAAAGAGAGGCACCGAGGGGATAGAAAATGTGACAAAAACCAGCAAAGTGGCACAGCTGCTGGCGGAGCTCAGGTTTCTCTTTCTTAACATCAAGGTAGGTTTTGAGACAGCAGATTCGCGCATTTTAAGGTAGACTGTATGTTACTGTAACTGGCTCAGTTGCTCCCTCTCCCTTGTGTTGCTCTACAGTACCTGGTCCCATTTCTATTAAACCAGAGTGGTTCAGTGGTCTACTATTACACACTTTCAACCACAGGTGAGACCTAGCACAAGTGTAGCCTGAAACACTAATGAGAACTTACCAATAGAGGTGTGCGGATCGGGCCAAATATTGAGTGTATCGATACCAGCGATCGATATTTTGTTTCTGTGTTAAATAAAGTGTTTTGGGGTTTTGGGTTTTTTTGGAAATATATCTCAAACATGCGCTATGAAGAATGGCTGAACCTTTTTGTGTTGACTATCTGTCTGTTTATTTATAGCCTACAGCATAATTAAACAACAGAAGTTGACCCAAAGTGCTTTAGAGCCAGGTACATTTACATTCCAGGTCTCCAAAAAAAAAAAAAAAAAAAAAAAAAAAAACTGTTTCTGAATGCATGAAAACCTTATAAGTGTTTAAGTTATAAGTGTTATTATTTTGAAAAGTAGTCAAAATCACAGTAAATCACAAAGTTTTAATGGTCATTAAAATGTGTTCAAAATTTCAAATGATGATTCATCCCATGAATCATGACACACTGATATACCTATATAAGCTATATGTATAGGCTAAAAGTATCGGTATTGGTTTAGTATCAGTATTACTGGCCCTATATTTACTTTATATCAGATCATACCAGAATTTCCTGTATCAAATGCCAATAAGCCACCGTAGATTAGTTTTTCACATGGCTTACTGGATAAATGTTAAATGTAATTTCTTTTAAACACTACAAGCAGAAAATCATCATACTTAATGGAACATGTTTGAGAAATTACTTTTATTGCTTTACTTGACACAGACTGTCACTGTATGCCTTCTTTGTAGACTAGAAATTCATTTTTTTTTAAAAAACCTTTCTTCTCATCCAGAGTTATCATTTGCTGTTCCTGTAGCCAACTCCCTCACCCTCCTTTGCACTCTGCTAACTGGCAAGTTTCTGGGGGAAGAGATTGGAGGCAAACGTAAGTCACTCATGTGATAACACTACATTTGTTTGCTTTTTTTAAAATAATGAGGCCAGTCACACAACCGGTGGTATTTATCTAGAAAAGGAAAGATTCAGATGCTGATTTTGAAAGTCAGACTTTAAGCTGTTTAGAGTCATGATTAAAAAGAAAATTAACCACTCTCTAATTCAAAGGTTTTACATATCAGGAAGCAATAAAAATCATCTGATGCTTTGCAGTTCTTCAAATTAAGTAAATACAGTATCGGTTGTACTAAAGAACATAGCATATTACACGCTGTCATATTTATGTAACATAAACTAAGCCAAATGAAGAAGGATTATGTGAAACGCTAAATACAACCTTACTTCTTCTACAGGAATTAATAGGGTATTTAGGAGCCAGATTAGTAGATTACAGATGTCATTATTCGGTGGAAAAGCATTTAGGTCAATTACCATACTTCCAGAGAGTGGACATGCCAGGAAATTAATCCCAAGGTCAGATTGTGCAATTCTCAGACAAACTTGAAAAAAAGAAAACCAAGAGCTACATCTCAGACTCTACAAGCCTCCGTTAGCATGTTAAATGTTAAAGTTTATGACAGTTCAGTTAGAAAAAGACTGAACAAGTATGGCTTGTTTCGAAGGGTTACCAGGTCAAAGCCTCAGCTTTCTAAAAAGAACATGGCAGCAGAGCTGTGGTTTGCAAAGCTGCAGCTGAACAAACCGCAAATCTCCTGGAACAATGTCCTTTGGAGTGACGAGACCAAAATAGAAATGTTTGGTGATAATGCACAGAGTCACATTTGGCAAAAATCAAACACGGCGAATCAGCACAGACACCTCATACCAACAGTTAGCACAGTGATGGAGGGGTGATGATTTGGACTTGTTCTGCATCCACAGGACCAGTAACTGCACCTTGCAGTCACTGTGTCAGCATCCGTAAGCCAAGGTGTTCTAGTCAAATGAGAGGCTACATGTGTGTCTGACAGCTAAAGCGTGACTTGATCCTAACCCTTGCAACACCACAGCTACAACAGAATCGCTGCAAAAGAAAAGAATAGAGGTGTTGCAATGACCCAGTCAAAGTCCAGACGTCAACCTGAAATGCTGTGCTTAAACAAATCCCCGCTAACCTCAATGAACTGAAGCAACATTGTAAAGGTGATTGGGCCAGAATGATGTGACAGATTGAGTCATACAGAAAACGATTACTTCAAGTTATTGCTGTTAAAAATTGTTCTGCAAGCTATTGAATAATGAGTTGTACTTAATTTTTTACACACTTCGTCTGTATTTTGGTTTAGTTTTTGTTTAATTAATAATGACACATATGTTGTTGTTCATCTGAAGTTGTGCTAAGACATGCTAACTGAACTGAAAGAGGGTGACATTTCTTTGTACCATGACCGTACCTAATTAATAAATACATTTTTTTTTAACTTTAACTATCTTGATATCCTTGCCCACACATCTGTCTGCAGAGGCTGTCGTAGGAATGTTCCTCACCATGGCTGGCATCACTCTGTGTATTATAAGCTCCATTGATGATATTGACAGAGATACTGGGAATCAGAATTTGACCCAACCCGTGTACTGAAGGAGATCAGGATTTAAGCCAATTCCTCTGCGCCTTCAAATAAATCCTTCGCCGTAAATGGAAAGACGGGCAATGAAGCTGGAGCAGGACTGAAGAAGACGATTTAGATTCAGAGAGCAGCTCCTGAGAGCGGCGATGCTGATGGGAGAATTGTGTCTAAACAAACTCAAGCTTCAAAAGGCCTGTCCAGAAAACTCTCACACCATGTTGAGGGGGGGAAGCGGGTTCATGGAGAGTTCACCACAGAGCTTGACTCGATTTATGACGCTCGCATAGAAAAGCGGTGGTTGTTAACTTTTACTTTTAAATGCTCCGCAGCTGACTGGCATCTGCATAGATCCTGCAGAGACCACATATAAATAAGCCCGGGGTAGATGTCAGCTTCTGGTTTAATGGGGACAGTTTGTGGTGGCTGCCTTTAGCCTGCTGTAGAGTAAGAGCAAGGCAGGAGGGGACAATGTTGTTGTATAGCTTGAGGATAAAATTTTCATCTTTCGCCTTTCCTTTTACTGTTTACTCGTAATATACTGCTTTTATTTTCCAAACTACTTTTGAAAGAAAAAGACTTTAACTGTGTAAAGAGTTCAGAAATTGGTCACATGTACAGTAATATATATGTTTATTGTCACATTTAATTGATACAAGACACTGTACAGATGACTGTTAATATTGTGCTCTGTTCCTGTGTTGTTGCTGATATTTAATCAATAAATTCTTGGCAACACTACTGTTCCCCAACACTCATTTAGTAGTCACTCATTTTTCAGTATAGGTTTAAGATTTACCCCAAAATTTTTTTTTTTCTGTACGCATAGTGACTATATTGCAGCATTGAACATCTACACAGTATCAACATAAGAATCATGCCTCTAAAACTGAATGGACAATGTCATAAACGGGTGTACGATACAATAAACTTCAATCAGTTTTAGTTGAAGCTTGTAGAGCTTCTGATAGTGTATCCACCTGTTGTAGTGTTTGTTCTGCTTGCACTTCTCACGCTTACATTTTCTACAATAAAACAAACATACATTAATGTTGTTATTTGGCTCATTATCACAGTTAAAGTACTACTAATTTAATCAAACATTCATGCGATGTGAAACTGTTAGGATGCCGTGACCTCCTGATGATGGTGGTTTTGTTCTGTTGCAACCGACGGCGCATCCTGCAGGATCTCCTGTCACAGCAACGACACTAAATCAGTGTAAAGGCAAAAGCTATCAGCAAGACGAGTTTAATGCCTTGGTTATATTGATGCCAGTAAAAACGCGATGGTGTTATAGGGTGTGAAGTTGGTAAACTTGCCTTTTCTTTTCTGTGCTCTGCGTGGCTGCTAGACAACGAAGGCCTCGACTTTGAAGACGTCTGCTTCAGCTCCTTTTGAAATGAAAGTCACAAAGATTTTGCCTCCACGTGCTGAAGTTCTGTATTTGTTCAATTGATTAATTAGCTACTCGTGGGTGTGAGTGTGTACCAGTATTTCAGCTTTGGACTCCTGCTCCTCTTCAGATAGTAATGCCTTTTAACGGCACAAGAACAAAAATGGGTAACCCTTTTAATGTGAACACGTGAATTACGATTAAATGTAAACAACCCACCCACACGAACCGTACCTGCTTTCCACTGTACTTGTGTGGGTGCTCCTCGTCGTCGTGCTGCTCACCCTTGATAATTTGTGCTTGTCTCTTGAGAGAAATAAATAGTGTTTTTTTTTAATGCTTTTGTTCAAAATGTGCAGCATGCATGTACTGTCCTTGTGACAGTGAATTAATAATTACTCCACATGCATGCAGGACAACTATTATTCAGTGGTATTTTTGGTTTTGCTTGTACAGGAGTGAGTGATGAGTGTTATTTCTCATATCTAACAAAACATGTTAGATATGGCATAAAAAATGCCTACCATCTGTTTGTTCTGCAGAGGATCCTCTGGGTTAGTTAAGTCCTCCTCCTCCACTATTTCTGCAGCTCTCTTTGGAAAGGAAATATGATTAAAATTTAGATTTAATCTCACTTCTATAATATTAAGGGCAGACAAACGCGCCCACCTCAGTCATATTTTAGCATTTAATTATCTTCTATTCAATTATGAGTCTGAAATGACGCAGAGGTGCCTGAAGCTAACCTGATCAACAGGAAGCTCTGTAGCTGTATTTTCATCCTCCTGCACCTCCTCTGCCCCTCGTACCTCTTCTCTCCTTTTCTGTGCTGAACTTTTAAATACACTGGGCTGGCCTGTCATGGGTAGATATCAAAAGTTTTTTACCACCAAAAAGTGGAGATACTCCTTAAGACTGATTGGATTTCATGAAATCCTCACCAGATCCATTGCTGAGCGGTGGTCTCGTTTGCATTCGATTCTTCCGGATCTTGACCGGCCTGGCAAAAAACGTAGAGGTCTCATCTGCTCCCTCTCTCCTGCTCCTTTGCTGGGAAGCTTGTGGGGCTGCAGCTTCATCTCCTGTTGACTTCACCCTCCGACCGTCTGACTGAAATTCATGGGTCACATTGAATATGTTACATAACAAACACTAAATTATATAAATACTCATAATATAGCATCATATAGTGTGAATATAAGTCAGTGGAGACTTGTTTGTTTGTTTGACCTCTGGGGAGTCAAGGAGAGCTGAGTCACTGCATTGGTCTTCAGGCCCACTTCCTGCTTTCCTGTTCTAATGGGGAAAAAAACAGAAGTTGTTCATAGCCTGTTAATGTTTTCTTCTGACAGCTGCCAATCAGACCTGATATTTAGGCTGGAAAATAACGATCCTAAAACTGTATTTTAAGACATGAAAATAAAGCAAGTAACTGAATGCAGAGAGAGAGGAGGAGGATTACCTCAGCTCTCCTTAACATCCTTCTCTTCCCAGGGTAATAGCTACAAAATGAAGAAACATAGTTATTAAAAAATGGGAGAGAGGAATGTGTGGGATATTGTTCTCTTCTTGTTTCCAGTCGTCTGATTATTATTCATGTGTTAGCACAGACTGACACAAGCACGGGTTTTGTTTTGTTTTTTACAAAGGAACTTCCATGATTGTACCTCTCTGTAGTTTTGGAGATTAATAGCTCCACATATGGGAGTTTCTTGAACCTCTCAGTTCCCACGGCAACATAGCAGCGGCCAGTCTCCAGCTCCCCAGCTGAGGACACGGCCACTCCTTCTAGAGAACACAACCTGAAAAATGTACAGGGGTTCGATATTTACTTTATTAGATCTTTCTGTTTGTATTTCACAGAGCTATTGGGAATGTTTTTGACCTTCTGTGTAATGGTGTCACTGACCTGCGCACCGCACCGGTCCTTAGGCTGACCTTCTCTGTGATTAGACTCAAGATCTGATCCAGGTCCTGCTGCATGCTCCGAGGAATGATGAATCGGAACGGTGGACACAGGAGGTCTCCATTTCGAAAAACGCTGAACATAACAAGAAACATCTTAATTCTTGTATGCAGATATGTGATGAAAGAGTTAAGAACTGGTAATTGTTACTACTGGTCTAAGCTGGTTGTGAAAAGATAGTTTCCCAGTGGTTTCCTTAAATGAAAGATTAGGAACAATTATTTAGCAATCAAGGAATAATGAATGATAGTTTAATTAGCCACAGCAACGATATTAAATCTTCCTACAGTTGCATTACTTTAATGTGAAATTGATTTTGGTATAAGTCTGGGAAACGTGGATATTTGTTTTCAGGGCAAAGATTAGGGTGTTGTTGATTTTTTCCAAACTCCCCAAAAGTGTTGCTAAAGGAAACATCAGGGGAAGCCAGTAGTAGCAGTTTATTCTCTGGAGATCTTAAGGACAAAATTTCCTCTCATCCAGTAGGTGCAGAGATAATTTAATCCAAAATGAAAGCAATGGTACTGCCAGCAAACTGTATGTAAAAAATAAATAAATACATTTCTGATACTATGTATATATGCCTCCGATAAGCAGTTCTTCCAACTCACTGTATAATGCAAGGCACAGGTATATACTTCCTCCATTTAGCTGACACATTCGGCCTCTGGATTGCTTTGACCTAGAGGGGACCAACATAAAATCAGATGCTTGCCACTGCAGAACATCAAATGCTGTCAATTTTTCATCAAGTTTCAAAATTCCCTTAACAGATTTACATCATTCCTGTCCTGCACATAAATACCACTGCATGCATATCGCCAAGAAAATCATTATCCGAAAAGTGTATTCAGCTCATATCAGCTCAAGTGCTGCAGCCATGGAAACTGACGTCACTCCAAGACTCCTCGGATGGTGCATTTAGACACGCCGTGTCTTATCTGAGGGCCCTCACCCATGTCGTCGCATAGTAATGAAATCTGGAGCCAATATCCATGTCTGCCTCTAGCTGAGCTAAATCAGTGGGCTCTGATAATCTCCTCGTTATTGTTTTTTTTTCCTTCTTTAAAGTGGCAGACGTTTAATTATTTACAATGTGTCTGAATCCAGAAGGAGGGCTCAGAATTTGAGTATTAGGCCTGCCTGAACATGTACACAGCCCTGATTACACTGGGTGGAAGCATAAAAACTTCAAACACAAACACTCAACATACGGGCACACTTCTTGTGTATCTCCACAGCAACCACAATACAGACATGTAAGACTTTAAAGCCAAAGGCCCCACCTAAAAAACAAACAAACACTTATCCAAAATAGCATCTATGCACGCTTATTCTATACTCATGCATGTTTTTTGTTCATAAAAGTAAGACTAATAGATCGCTCTACATCAGAAACACTAAGAGGTCAGTCCTGCCAGCAGGTCAGAATATAAAACAAGTACTTGTCGTGAGTGGCTCTAAAGTGTGTGTGGCTTTGAAATCAATTTAGTGTGAATGCTAAGGGAGCTTCATTATGCCTAATCCTAGCATCCTCGTCACTGTGCACTGCCTGCCTTTCATTTTACTGAAAAGGTTGAGTTCAGCCGAAGAGAAAGGATAATTTTCTTGATGAAATCGTTTGACGTTTCAATATCCCGCTGAAATTAATGAAGCTGTCACATGAGAGTACCCTGCAAGTTCTGAGTGACTGAGTGTTTGATGGACAGTGCAGTCATTAGCCCATTATATCCGCTAATCTACCTAACAGCCTGTGACTTCAATAGGAGGATAACAGGGGACATGCACGGCTAATACTTGCTCATAAGAATGGGTCGTCACTTTTAAAGGCGAATAAGGTTGCGTCAATAAACAAAAAATCCTGCACTCTTTTTAAATTTGACTTGGAAGGAGTTGAAATGATCAGCTTGATATGACTGTAGCCTGGTGGTGCATTCCTCTTGGTTAGGCTAGGATTAATCAGTTACAGATTCCTTAAAAGGACTGAAATGAAATGAAAGCCTACCTGGGTCTCCTCACGAGCAGTGGGTTGCTTTTTTGTTCTCACGTTCAGGTAACTGTGCATAAAGACAAGGGATATAACGAAGAAAACCCTAACACAGTACTTGATCTGTTTTCCAGACATCAAGTATAAATAACTTCATTTTGTTGTACTCACTCGAGTTTCTTGAATCTCTCAAAGCCAGCAGCAACATACTGGGCTCCTGTCCGTAGATCCTGCAGGTCTGTGACTCGGTGGCCCTGCCTGGGGGTGTACAGAGTCCTGACGGCAAGAGGGGCACCGATGCTCTGGGTCACTTCATTCAGAAAGGCCTCCATGGTGACCACCTGTCGCTGGTTGACCACAAACCTGCGTCCACTGTAGAAGGGGTCTCC